GTCCGGCCCCCAGGCGTCCCTGGCCCGTCCCTCCCCACGCTGGAGCCTGGCCCTGCACCGCTGCTCGGTGACTCCGTCCTCACGCCCGGCCACGGGGCCTGCCCTGGCGCTGCTGAGCGGGGGCTGCCCCGCCGACGCCTCGGTCGCCTTCCAGCCGCCGCACGCCGGTGCCGCCCAGCCCGCGCGCTTCAGCTTCCGCCTGCGTCCGGTTTTCAACGCCTCGGTGCAGTTCCTGCACTGCCAGCTGAGCCGCTGCCGCCGCCTCCAGGGAGTCCGCCGGACGCCTTCGCCTCTGACTCCGCCATCTCGGGTGCGCGGACACAGAGACGGAAATCTGGGCGCCGGGGTGGGGGGCCCTCAGGGGCTGGACACTAACGCCTTCTGCGTCCAAGGGAGAAATCCCTTGGGATTTAGGGATCTGTGGGTAAGGGGAAGAGGGAGGTTTAAGGGAAGAGGTTCCTCCAGACTAAAGGTAAACGCTGGGTCTCAGACTGGAGGCTGAGCGCCAGAGGGACTCTGAGCAAGGGTTTCTCAGGGGACAAGAAACTAACACGGGTTCTGAAGGACAGACCTCTGGGGTCCTTAGTGTCCTTAGGATCCGAGGTCCCTCCAAGGTTGGGAGACGGTGCAGAAGGTGGCAGAAAGCCCAAACCTCCGGGTACTTAATCTCGGGTGTCACAGGTTGGGTGCTTAAAGAGGGGATCGTGTGACCTCCCTGAGGAGCTATTTGGGGTCTGGGCTAAGTGACTAGCCACGTGACCACTTAGGGGCTGGGTTCAGGGGACCGCCCCCCCCAAGGGATCCCACAGTGCCCTCCTGGTTGGACACTGAGGTCTCAAGAGCTTGGAGGTTCTGGGGCCCTGACATCCCGTCTCTCCCCTCCCCTCCGCTCCCCCAGTGTCTTCCTCAGGGGGAGGCGTGCGCGGGCGCGGGCGGCGGCAGCGGGGACAGCCTGAGCGCCGACAGCTTCCACCTGCACACGCTGACGCAGCCCATCGTGGTCACCGTGCCGCGGCCGCCCCCCAGTGAGCGCGCGGCCCATCCCGCAGGGGTTCTGGGGAGGGGCGTGGGGAGGACGTCTGGGGGCCTGGGCACAGTCTCAGCGTCGCGCTCCCCACAGGGCCGCCCAAGGGCGTCCCGGGCAGAGCCGTGCGCCCCGAGCCACCTGCGCCAGCCCCCGCGGCCCTGGAGCCCGCGCCGGTGGTGGCGCTGGTGTTGGCAGCTTTCGTGCTCGGCGCCGCGCTGGCTGCAGGGCTCGGCCTCGTCTGCGCGCACTCAGGTACCACCCTCTGCCCTGCGGGGACCTCGCCTGGGTCTCCAGCTTATTCCCGCGCGTCTGGACCTGGGGTGGAGAAGCCACCTCCCTGCAGCCCGCCTCTCCCCTCCAGCGCCCCCGCCCGCCGGCCCGCCCCCGAGAGCCTCGCCCAGCGGCCCCCAGCCCAGGAGGCCCCAGTAGGCAGGTAAGTTCGGGGGAGCGGGGGACAGTTGAAGGAGGTGACAATGACTTCACAGCTCACAGCGCTTACTCTGTGTAGGCAGGCCTCTGTTTTACGCATACTAGCTAATTTAATCCTCTTAACCTTCAAGTACATATTAAAGTTCCCGTTTTAAAGACATTTTCTGAAGCTAAGTCACTTGTCAGAGGCTAAAATATCTGGTGAGATTCGAACTCGGGGACGCGCGGCGGACTGCAGGCCCTGGGGGCGATCGAGAGAGCAGTTTTCAAACCCTGAACAGGTACTAGGCGAGACTTAGGGCTTCAGACCCAGTTTCCACTCTCGCTTCTGCGCACAGACTGTTGGAAGGGGCCGTTGGTGTTCTGGGAAGGGGGTGACCTTGGCCGCCCCTCCTCAAGGTTAGTGCGCTCCTTGCAAGGTCTGCAGATGCGCCCCGCCATGGGTTCCGGAATAGGTCTGCCACAATCAGACTCGCCAGCCTGGACATCGGACCCAATGGAACCTTGCTCTTCTCCCCTGCCCTTCCTCCTTCCTTCTCCCCACCTGGGTTCAAAATAAATCTCTGGACTGCCCCGCTGAGTTCCGGAGTCAGTGTGTGTGCGCGCATGGCGTGGCGTGGGGACAGGAGGGGAGGCTTGGGGTGGGGTTAGGGAATCAGGACTCAAGGACTTCGTGCAGTGACAGGTTCGGACTGGGTGGGTGAGTCCCACAGACAGGTGTGCACAAAGGGCCAGGGGAGATTTAAAAACGTGTTGTCCCCCTCTCAAAAAAAAAAAAAAAAGCGGGGGACCCGCAGTTGGCGTAATG